GGGATGAGTGCTACAAAAGTAGCATTAAAGCTCTTCTCAATAATCTGTCTAGCATGGAATTCTTGTATAGCCTTTATAATATCCTCTTTTAGGATCTCCCAGAAAGACAAGTAAAAGGACATGGGAAAACCATCAGGTCCAGGTGCTTTCTCCATAGCACAGAGCTTTGAGCAGCCTAAGATCTCTTCCTCCTCAAAAGGACCCTCTAGTTCTATCTGCTCCTCCACACTAATGGTTGTGATCCCATGTAATTGTAGCCTAGGCCTCCACTCCTCTGATTCTGTGTACAAATTTTGGTAGAAGCTTTTGATGGTCTCTTTAATGATAGAAGGGTCATTAGTATTGCATCCATCCACCATCAGAGACTCAATGGAATTGTACCTCTTATGGGAAGTAGCTATTCTGTGAAAAAACTTAGTATTTTCAATAATTAGGACTCTTCTCTAAAGATCCATACTGGGTGAAATCAAGATTATATTTTTAGATCTTTTGGAAGCTTAAATTTATGCGTTTTCAAGTATTTGCGCCCCCGCATTTTTTGTCCGAATTCTGAAATATTTTAATCAAAATTTAAGATGGTCCTATTTTCCTATTCTTTTTCTATATGAATTAAACTGGATTATAAAAAACCTATATGCCAATCACCCAAGTCATTGTCCATCTATTTTGTCAGGAGAAGTAAATGGTTGTAACTTATCACCAACTGGCTCAACCCCTTCTATAAATCACTCCTGCTGAAGCACCCTTTTTGCACCTTCATCAAAACTAATTCATTCTAAAACCGCCATATATGATTTCCTAATTCTTTCTTCCTTTGTTTCTTTCCTTGTTTTTTCCTTGCTCGGACTCAGATGTGGGTGTCCGGTACAGGTGTAAATCTAGAGTCGGATTGTTCATGATCTAAATTTTAAGGCCTGGGAGTACGAATCTAGGTTTGGATACAAGTGCGGGGATTCAGTTAAAATAATTCAAATATCTAAAATTAGAGTTATAAGAATGTGCCTAAACTATGGTGGACTATATTGAAAGAAAGGAATGTACCAATTTATGAGAGTATTTTTGAATCTGGAATTATTTCCAAGTATAGTTGCATCTCTTTTTTTTGGTGTGCAGCATGGCTATTTCTAATGATATCGAGGTCAAGATAGAGTTCTTGAGTTCATTGCACTTCTGGTTACCAAATATTTTATATAAATTATCTTTTAACGTGAAAAAAAATCATATGCCTAAATTATGATTTCACTCTAACTTTTGTTTGCCCGACAAAGAGGCAATCAAGAAAGCTGCATAAGTGGATATATAACCTACAGAAAGTAAGCTAATCCAACCAATCTTGCTTGTACAATGAAAAAGGTCACTGACTTATCTCTCCGGCGAATTAAATTGGCCAAATTTGTGCGTTCATGAACCATGCTAAAGTTTCAATCAATTCCTGACAATATCCACACCGAGAAATTAACATAAATCCAGTAGTCCAAAGTCCAAACAAGATGTTCAAATAAGAACATGTCTTTTCTTCACCAGATCGATACTAACTTACCTACTCTTGCTCGTACCAGATCTAAGAGGACGAGGCCTGATTCCCAGACCCATAACTCATTCCTTCCTAACTCAGAAATCATTGTATGTGTTTCGGGTTTCTCTATCGATTTTGGTCAAAGTACCCAAAATCATTGACCATATTTGGTATGGATTCCACACTTACACCCACGCCGTGTCAACATGAATGTGACATTGAAAGTGAAGAGTCCGAGCAACTTAGCCAATATCACAATCACCAAAGTCATTGTCAGTCTATTTTATCAGGAAAAGCACAATGGCCCAACCCCTCTAAAAAATACTTCTATTGAAGCACCTTCTTGCACATCTCTTCTAAAACCACCATAACATAATTTCCTATTTCCTTCCTTTGTTTCTTTCCTTGTTTTTCCCTTATGTTTTCGTCATGTGCAAATATTTTTTGGGAGCCTTATATTTATAGTTGGGGTTGGTGTGGCGGTGGAACTGCACCTATATGCAAATTAATACACCTCAGTAGTGCAATGTAAGTCATTGCTGAAGTGATCACATCTACTACATACTTTAGGCATTGGAAAATCAGAGCAAAGCATTCAAATTTGATAGGCAATGTACATTTCACAAGGAGATGAAGGAACATATCATTTATAAGTAATACTTTTGCTTTCCTCGGGCAATTTTATCTCTTCGTTCCTTCATTCTTTTTTATGTAGAAATTGATTTTGGGCTTAACTTAACTCAAAAAATTAGTTTAGGAAGGAGAATGCCTAAGTCCGTATAACTATAAGAAGATCATAACTCATTCCCTTAATCCATATGGAACATGACACTCCCCTATGCCCAGGACTGTAACTGGAGTATGGATAACAAAACATAGGCCCAACATTGAAACACACCAATAAGGATTAATGAGTCTTGCTCAGATACCAATTGAAAAAATGAATTGGGGCCTAACTAGGGATGGCAATGGGGCGGTGTGGGGCGGGTTTAGTCAAACCCACAAAATTCTCAACCTGCCTTGCCCCACATACTGTTTTTTCCCTATTTTTAACCTGCTCCGCCCCGCATAAACCCGCTCCACTTACGTTATTACTGCATTATGCATAGAGTAAGTAATTGTCGGTAAATTCACTGTTGCAACTTTTCTTCTTCTTTATGTTATGTATGTATACAAATATAATTCATAAGGCTTGTATCTCAAAATAAAGACAACTCTGATTTTGGCTCCTGTACTTTTACGTCATATGACTTTTTTTTTGGTCTTTTGCGAATGATTTGAAAATAGAGTTGTAGCCTAGAAAAAGATCGTATTACCACATTTTTATTCACTTTTTTTAATCTCACATATGATATCAAAAAAACAAGTACTCTTGAACATTAACCATATGTTCTACTCAGCAGCTTTTTAAGTCAAACACATGTACAAGAGAAGAACCAATTCTATTATTGATGATGATTCCTTGTCCTTTTAAGTCAAACACATGTAAAAAGGAAGAAGCGTTTCTATTGTCATTGGAAAAAAAACTCAAATAAATTTACCTTGATATTTTGACAATGATTCCTCATTTCCTTGTTCCACTTTATTTTTCCTCCGCCCTCGGTTGCCCATTGTTTTTCACCTGTGTGCACAATTTAAAAAAACTAAGGTTTTGATCCGCCCCACACCATCCCGCATAGTCTTAAACCCGCACTGCCCCGCACCCACATTGCCCCATTGCTATCCCTAGGCCTAACTCAACTCCTAAAGTTAGCTCATTAGGGGAGGATTGTCAAAGTCTATACAAGAAAATCACAACATTTAGCTCATGAGGGGAGGTTTACTAGGGATGGCAATGGGGCGGGGTGGGTTAAACTTAACCCGCAAAATTTTTAATCTGCCCCGCCCCGCCCCGCCTAACAATTTTTTTCATTTTCAACCCGCCCGCCCCGCTTCGCATAGACCCATTCCTCATGATCCCGCCCTGCATACTTTTTTTAATATTTTCTTTTTCTAGTTAAGTTTGACACTAAAAATAAAATTCATAAAAATAAATTCATTTTTTCATTAAGTTGTATTAATTTAATAGGATTGTGACTTAAAATTTTATTTTTTAGAGGTAAATTGGGAAACATGTAAGAAATTGAATTTTTTTTATTAAATCATTTTCATTTACTATCTTGAATATTTTAGTATAGTAGCTTTAAAGAAATTATCTTAATAAATAATGATCCATCACTCTTATAACATGTAAAAATTAAGTTAAATTTAAACCCACATAAAATCACACATACCCCCGCCCCGCCCCGCCCCGTATTAGTTTTTAAAAAATCCACTTCAACCCGCCCCGCATCACCTTAAACCCACCCCGTCTCGCATAGCCTTAAACTCGCCCTACCTCGCATCCGCCCGCCCCATTGCCATCCCTAAGGATTACCCAAGTCTACATAAGGAAATCACAACATTTTTTATATTAGTTTAATAACTTTTTTAGTAATTCAAGTGCCAATAGTTTGGCAACCCTTTCTTCCAAATAACTTGGAAAACCAATGAGAAAAGAAAAGCAATCATTGTTTTGAAGATGTTAACCGTGGAGGTTAGAGGACTCTTTTTGGGCTTGACGTTAGGTCTTTGAGATAGTGCATTACTGAATTAATCAATACTCAACCTGGTGGTATTGGTCAGAGGCCCGATATGTTATTTAGGGTATTATTTTAAAGTAAGTTGGCCTAGTTTGTGTTGAATTGCACTTGTGTTAGCATAACATTTTGGGTTTCGATATGATCTTACATGCATGCTTTCCCATGAAAGCAATTTGTATTATAGAAAATTGCATGTTGTGTTAGCAGCTCAATCTGTATTCATATTATTGATGCTGTTTCAGTGAGCTAACTGAGTAACTTATTCTTTGTGTATAGGTATATCGAACACTGCTGGTACTTTGGCTGCGATAATTGGAACTGTTGGTGCTGGATTCTTTGTTGAACTGGTGGGATCTTTCAAGGGATTTTTGGTGCTTACATCAGTCTTGTATTTTGCTGCTGCTGTCTTCTGGAATGTATTTTCCACCGGGGAGAGAGTAAAGTTTGATGATTCCACTTAGATTAATTTTTTGATGGTTTGTTTTCCTGTTTACTTCATCAGTCCAAAAGGATGGATAGGTGTATTATAGCCAAAGTTTCTTTCTCAAAAGAGGAATGGAAGGACCCGTAGTCCTTGTTCTCCATTATAACGATGTAAATATAGTCAAGTTCTATGAGATAACTGATGATTGTGTTGTTTTTATTTTTACAAGTTGGGAATGCACACAGATTCACCACTAAACTTGCCTGTAAATGTTTAATATCACGTCCAATTCATTATTCCCCAATTTCATTTGAAGTAAAATTAGTACCCCTGTGATTGATGTGGCGAAAAAGGTTAAATCAATCCTATTATTGCGTCTGGAAGTGAAAATAGAGTTGAAGAGTCCAAATGACATTTTCTAATTGGATGTTAGAGATCAATGTATTATGAAACTTGGTGGAGATTCAGCCAAAAGCTGAAAAAGTGCCTAAACCATGGTCTCACTGAGAGGCATTTAAAACAGGCTTTCTATAGATCTTTGAATTATGTCACTAAACTTCTTGTTGATGCAGTGTGTGCAGGATCATTTATGAGGAAGCCATTCTCAGAGAGCATACAACTGATGGACAAACTGTCAAAGAATAACAGGGCACGGTACACCTGGGATACAAAAGTAGGAGATCTGGGGTACACATTTGAACTGTCGGTTGAACAAAGGAAGAGAGAAGAAGAAAGAGATCAAGATACGGCACACATGAGGACCCAAATAGATCTACTCACGAAGCATATTTTCTCCAAGTCTGAAAAGATAAGTGTTGTGAGCCAACCAAACAGGTTTGAAGATCAGGATATAGATCTAGATGAGGAGGCAAACTACCTGGGAAACCAAGGAGGTTTCCGGAATTATAACTCGGGGAACCAAGGTTACAATTCTGGAAATGTAGGTCGGAACTTCTCAAGGGAAGGACAGTATGATAGGCTAGCAAACAGAGAGCATGGAAACTGGCAGAATAGAGATGGGTATAGAAATGACCGCAGTGGTGTATATGGGCCCCAAGGTAATAGTGATCGGGCAAGTGGTAGTTCCAGTGGGTCTAAGCTCGAAGACATGTTGGCCAAGATGCTACAAAAAGTGGAATCAACTGATGCAGGGGTGAATGAGGTGAAAAGTAATTTCTCCGAGTCAACTCGTAGACTCTCACACCACCTCCATCAAGCATATTGAGCAACAGTTGGGGCAACTTTCAGACTCATTAAATCAGAGGAAGAATGGGTCACTACCAAGTGACACGATTCAAAACCCTAAGAAAGATGGGCATTACATGGCTAGCGCCACCAGGAGTGGTAAGATTCGTACTGACCCAATTTCTACAGGTACTAAACATGAGCAGGTATTGGAGCAAGCTAGAAGAGATGAGGATGAAGCTGAGCAAGTAGATGACTTGGAGGATTCTCAACCAATAGCTAACCCAACAAGAGTGAAAGAAAAAGAGGTTGAGGGAACCTTGGCTTTACAACAAATCCCAAGACCACCTCCTCATTTCCCTCAAAGGCTTAAAAAGAAAGTCGAAGATGGGAAATTTGCTAAGTTCAGCACCATGTTGTGACAGTTGTCGGTAAACATCCCACTGGTGGAACCACTAGAACAAATGTGAAGATATGCCAAGTTCATAAAGGACTTGGTCACAAAGAAAAGTGTTGTAAGTATTGATTTAACTGACAATGTTCATCACTGCAGTGCTATTGCTACCAGGTCTATGGTACAGAAGAAGGAGGATCCGGGTAAATTTACCATACCGTACACTATCGGATCAATTGAATTTGCAAAGGCCTTGTGTGATCTAGGGGCTAGTATCAACTTGATGCCGCTGGCCATCTATAAGCAACTGGGGTTAGGAGTTCCAAAACCCACAACAATGAGGTTGATAATGGCAGATAGGTCAGGGAAGCGACTTGTAGGCATTCTATGTAATGTGCTCGTGAAGGTGGACACGTTCATCTTTCCGACAGACTTCGTGATCTTGGATTGCGAAGTGGATTTCGAGGTTTCCATTATTTTGGGAAGACCATTTCTGACCACAGGACGAGCAATGGTAGATGTTGAGCGAGGAGAACTGAAGTTCGGACTCAACAAAGAAAAGGTAAAGTTTAATATTTGCAAGTCCATGAAGCAGCCACGTGATATGAATGTGGTGTCTGCAATAGCGGTTTTTGATGAAGAAGAAATAGGAGAAACAATTGAAGAGAGAATGGCTGTTGAAACCTTAGTTGCGGTGTTGATGAACTTTGAAGTTTTCCGTTTTGACTATGTAGAGACTGTGAATGCTTTGAGGGTATAGGAGTACACTCTTATGCTCCAAAGAAGTTGGACCTGGATCTGAAAAATAGGTCAAGTCCTCCAGCAAAACCATCCATTGAGTAGACACATATGCTGGAACTGAAACAGTTACCCAGTCACCTGAGGTATGTATTTTTGGGAACTAACAACACTTTACCTGTGATTTTGGCTGCAGATTTGAATGATGAACAGGTCCAAGCTCTGATCAAAGTGTTGATTAGATACAAGAGAGCCATTGGGTGGACCATTGCTGACATCATTGGGATACCTTTGGGTATATGCACCCATAAAATTCAACTTGAGGAGGACTGCAACCTAAGTATTGAACACCAGCGGAGGCTAAACCCACCTATGCAAGATGTGGTCAAAAAGGAGATCATCAAGTGGTAAGATATCGGGGTGGTATACCCTATTTCTGACAGTCACTGGGTCAGTCCAGTGCAATGTGTGCCCGAAATGGGGTGGTATGACTGTGGTTGCAAATGCCAAGAATGAGTTGGTCCCGCAGAGGCCAGTCACTAGATGGCGAGTGTGCATGGATTACAGGAAGTTGAACAAGTGGACCTTGAAGGATCATTTTTCAATGCCTTTCATGGACCAAATGCTTGACAGGTTGGCTGGCAAAGGGTGGTACTACGTTTTAGATGGATACTCTGGCTACAACCAGATATCAATTGCTCATGAAGATTAGGAAAAGACCACATTTACATGTCCCTATGGCACCTTTGAATTTAAACACATGCCATTTGGACTATGTAATGCACTAGCAACTTTCCAGAGGTGTATGATGTCTATCTTCTCAGACATGGTGGAGAATACTCTAGAAGTCTTTATGGATGACTTTTCAGTGGTAGGTGATACCTTTAATGATTGTTTGCTGAATCTTAGCAGGGCCCTACAGAGATGCGAGGAGGCCAACCTAGTGCTGAAGTGGGAGAAATGTCATTTCATGGTCAAGGAAGGCATAGTCCTTGGGCATAAGGTGTCACAAAAGGGGATAGAGGTCGACAAGCCCAACATTGAGCTGATTGAAAAGTTTCCTCCACCTATTTGTGTGAAGGGTGTTCAGAGTTTCTTAGGACATGCCAGATTCTATAGGTGTTTCATCAAGGACTTATCTAAGATTACACACCCCATCTACAATCTTTTGGAGAAGGAGGTGAAGTTTGTTTTTGATGAGGCATGTCTCAGAGCTTTTGAATGCCTAAAGGAGAAGTTGATTTCTGCAGCGGTGATCATTGACCCAGACTGGGCTGAGCCATTTGAGGTAATGTGAGATGCTAGTAGTACTTCTTTGGGAGTTGTGTTGGGGCAGAAACGCAACAAGATGTTTCATCTGATTTACTATGCTAGTAAGTCACTGAATGGAGCACAGCAAAATTACACAGTTACTGAACAGGAATTGCTCGCCATGGTGTATGCTTTTGAAAAGTTCAGAGCTTACTTCCTGGGCACTAGAGTGATAGTCCATACAGACCATGTAGCTCTGAGATACCTCATGGCAAAGAAGAATGTCAAACCAAGGTTGATCAGGTGGGTATTACTTCTTCAGGAGTTTGATTTTGAGGTTAAAGATAGGAAAGGTTGTGAGAACCAAGTAGTTGATCACCTATCAAGATTGGAGGCTGAAAATAAAGAGGAACTCGAGCTCGACATAAATGATTCGTTTCTGGATGAATAGGTATTAGCCGCTACTCTTGATCTTATTCCTTGGTTTGTTGATTTTGCTAACTATCTCGTTAGTGATTTAATGCCTAAGGGGCTGACATATCAACAAAGAAAAAGGTTCCTGCATGATGTGGGTAAGTATTTTGGGATGAGCCTTATTTGTACAGGGTGTGTGCTGACAACATCATTAGGCGATGTGTTCCTGAAGCTGAGATGTTGCATATTCTAGAAGCCTGTCACTCCTCTCTGGTAGGTGGTCATCATGGAGGTGCTCAGACAGCTCATAAGATACTTCAGTGTGGTGTCTATTGGCCCACAATTCATCAGGATACGATGGATGTGGTAAGAAGTTGTGATGTGTGCCAGTGATAAGGAGCCATCTCTCGGCGCCATGAGTTACCTATGACACCTATTCTGGAGGTGGAGTTGTTTGATGTGTGGGGAATCGACTTCATGGGCCCATTTGTGAGCTCCTATGGGCAGAAGTACATATTGGTTGTAGTGGACTATGTGTCCAAATGGGTTGAGGCAGTTACTTTGCTTGAGAATGATGGCAAGAGTGTTGCTGGTTTTCTGAAGAAGAATATCTTCTCAAGGTTCGGCACACCCAGAGTTATTATCAGTGATGGCGCGTCCCATTACTGCAATAAGGTATTCAGTTCTCTTCTGGCTAAATATAGAGTTAAACAGCACAAGGTAGCAACACCTTATAATCCACAGACCAGTGGCCAAGTGGAGGTCTCCAACAGAGAAATTAAAGCAATTCTGGCTAAAACGATGGATCCCAACAGGACAGATTGGGCACAGAAGTTAGATGATGCTCTATGGGCATATCACACAGCTTTCAAGATGTTTATTGGTATGTCTCCATATAAGTTGGTCTTTGGAAAGGCATTTCATTTGCCGGTTGAGCTTGAGCATAAAGCACTTTGGGCATTGAAGGAGCTGAACCTTAGTTGGAGCGAAACTGCAAGCTTGAGATTGGATCAGATTAATGAGATGGATGAGTTTCATCTGAGAGCTTATGAGAGGCCTGCACTGTATAAGGAGAGGATGAAGCTATATCATGACAAGCATATTGAGAAAAGAAGCTTCACTCCTGGTGAGTTGGTATTACTTTTTAACTCCCGACTTTGTCTGTTTCTGGGAAAATTGAGATCCAAATGGTTTGGACCTTTTAAGGTAACGCAGGTGTTTCAGTCTGGTGCTATTGAGCTGGAAAATGATAAGGGCGAGATGTTCAAGGCCAATGGTCAGCGAATCAAGGCATACTTGGGTGTTCCTGAGGATGTGAAAATTGTGGAGGAATGTAAACTTGATGAAATCTGAGTAATCAAGTAACCTGCATCGCGCCGCGACGTTAAATTGTGCGCTTCTTGGGAGGATGTTAACTTTCACGGTCCGTCGTCCACAACCCAGTACTTCCAGGAAACTGACCCAACCCGCGTGAAAGAAAGATTGAATTTAAATGTATATATTGCTCTTCAAATGCCAAAGGGCAGTTTCTCTTTATTTTCTCTTCCATAACGTTTATCAAAATCATACCTAGGCTTTCATCATCCATAAGTTCCAAATTCTTGGAAATTTTGAAACCCTAGTTCTAATGTCAAAGAATCACAGTGTGGGTCATTAGTTCTCTGAAGTAGTCGAACCATAAGTGTGCTCTTATTCAAAGTAAGTCTCCAAATTCACTTGTTATATGCTTAATTTTATTTAGAAACAAGTTAGAATTGCTTATATTTGATCAAAATTAAGCATGATTGTGTGAGTACTGATCTTTGATGATATCTACTTAGGAGGGTTTGATGAATTGTTGTTGGTTTATCTGAATTTTGTCTAAATTGGTTGTGATACTTTGTGGGGTAGTTAAATTCATGGAAGTTAGTGTTTATGTTTGGGTACGTATTTGGATGGATGAGTGTTATTATGGTTGGCTTTGTGTATAATTGAGACTCAGTCGTGTTAGTAGTGCATTTTGATCCTGTGTAGAAAAGGGTTTGGTGTTGTAAATATGTAATATAGTGAATGTGGGGAAGAAGATGACTAAATAAATGGCCAAGTGTAAGACCACGATAGGTTTTAGGGACCGTGGAAGCTACCACAAGCCGTGAAACCAATCGTGGATCACACTTGAATTCCTTCCAGCTATCAGGTAAGTTCACGGCCAGTATCACGGACCGTGGTTCAACCCACGGGTCATGTAACCGTCCGTGAACATTACTTGGTTAACCTCCTACTGCACACTAAGTCTGTGTTAAATCAACGAGGGGTATAACGGATCGTGGTATCTACCACGACCTGTGAAAGCTTTTATAGAGTGTACTTGGTTTTGTATAATTTTAATTTTTCTATATTTTTATTTGTCTTCTTTTGATTCTATGGCCCTTCCCAATGATAGATTGGGTGACGACATTTTTAAGGTAAGGCGTCACAATGTAATTACACCGGGGAAGTCTGAGTACCCAATAGTGTGTCATTTTATTAAGTTTTTTACTAACTGGTGTTGTGTTTATCAGGTACTATAGCTCCCCGGAGAAAGAACACAACCAAACCTGCCCGCCCCCCCCCCCCCCCCCCCCCCACTACTTCTCAATCAGAGTGTCATGATGGATCCAAGTGTAGTAGTTCCGAGGTGCAAATAAATACCACCATTGAGGATCACTCACGTCAGGATACTAGAGGACAAACAAAGAGGGCTATTCTCTAGGACACTCATCCCCAGTCTGAAGAGGGAGGAAGTCGTTCCGGTAGCAATGAAGAATCGGGTGGTGAATCTAATGTTGGTTCAGATAGCCAGTCTTCTGATAATTCGGGGGGCAGTGCAGAGTCTGAAAGTGGCTCTCAGGAAGATGCAAACACCTCTCCACCTGCAGTAAATACAGAAGCTGAAACTAGAGTATGAGAGGAAGCAACTGCTATAGATGAGGATGTAGAGATCACCACTGATGATACCATGGTGATGTATGTGAACATCAATGAACCTGTTCCTGTAGTGAGACCGCATCTGATTGAATGTTTCCATTCCATGTGGACTGTGAATTGGTCCGAAGAATTCTTCAACAATGGTATTGTGACCAAGAATGGCAGCTTTAAGAAACGATCAATCATGCCTAAGGCTAGGGTTGTGGTAGCTAATATCAAAGCATTCCCCGACATTTATCGGACATTTCAATTTCATCAGTTCGACTGGATGAACAATGCACCTGGAGAATACTCTAGCCACCTGGCTAGAGAGTTTTATTCATCTTATGCAGCTATACTGATAAACTTTGCGTAAACAGAAACAACAAAGTGTGGACAGAGAGACATTGCCATTACCTGGGGTCCACTCAACTCAATTATAGTTCGGGGCAAATTGATTTATATCTCTGAGGCCACTATTAGCAGGATGTTGCATGGCCTGAAATACACTGCACCAACTTTAGTTGGCCTTTTTTAGGGCAAACATCATGAAGTCATCAATGATACTACAATGGAAATTTGGGATTCTCAAGAGAGGGTCTTGCGCTAGATTGCAAGGCATATTGCCATAGATGGGGAGAATGCAGTTTGGGTCACAATAACGCCAACACTTATTACAAAAGCTTCACTTTCTTTTCCAGCCAAGTTTTGGTGGGTTGTTGTCCATGCGCAATTGAGACCGACAGCTAATGATAACACCTTGTCTCCTTCACTGGCGTCTTTGGTTGCATGCCTCATGGTTTGTTATCCGGTAAATATGGGGTGGATCATATCAACTGATCTACGAGACAGGGCACTGAATGAGAGGGTTGGACTTCCATTTCCCTGTCTGATAGGGAAACTATGCCGCCAAGCGAACATTTTGCCAAACAGGCTGATCGACAGATGGGGTGAAGCAGCCAGCCTTATCCAGGTTTCTAAAATCAAGGATGTCAAGAACCATCTCTTTGGTACGAAATCTGCAGAGTGGGTACTTTAGTTATTACTCCCCCAGAGCAGGGGGAGTAATCACAGCCTTCCACAAAGGCACCACCACCACTAGCTTCTGCCTCACAGGCTCCA